TTCAATGCTATCATTCTACAATTTATACATAGAACTCTGTTGAATAGAACCAAATGGACAGTGCTGTGATTTTATAACTGTGTGCTTTAATCTCGGATGATAATCATAAGTGCTGTTTATTTATTATATATTTATTGTTACAAGTTTCACACTGAGATGTATGAGAAATGATGTGTCATTATGCTTTTATTTAATATGCATCGGTATAAGGCAGATATTTGAGCTCCTGTATGCAACTAACAACTTTGTAATGTACCGACTAAGTTTCATTTTTTAATATCATATATGATACTAACTTTTTACCTGTAAAAATCACAGGTAGACCTACAGGTAAAATATATCAGGTAAACATAGTACATATATGATACAAACTACAATTACCCTCCCTTTGATGTTTCTACCTATTGTTCTCAATAGGTATGCGTCACGGCTGACCCGTGCTTAGGGTCATTAGTGTTAACAGATTGCTAAGTTTTATTTATTCACTCCGACACACTTACGTGTGTAACAAGAGGTCACATACATATAGTAAGTATGATACATGGCGTGTGATGTACACAATTACAACATTGTACATAGCATAGATACATATAGAAGTACACAAATAGTACAGAAATTAAGTTAATATTTTTTCAAGCTTTTCTATGAATTTACAAAGTTTTGTGTAAATTTTTACATTAAATATATTAAACAATCCTTGCATTTTTAATTGACTTGGATAAGTGAAATAATATTTTGGTATATATTTCTCTCTTAGACATTTAACTAAAACACTTTCACATATAAATAAGTAATGAAATTCATCTCCAATGTACAAATTACATAATGTACAGGTTCTTTCTTGACGAGGAATACCTAACCATCTTCCTTTTTCTATGGGTAAATGCATATTGCAAGAACGGAATTTACACATTATTTTCCTATCATTTGTATTAAGTTTAATTAAATATTTTTCTTGTTCAAACTTTGTCTTTAATATTGAATATGTTTGTCCTCTAGAGGAGTTAAGAATATTATCAAACCATTTCTGTATAAATTGATCCTTCAGTCTACTTTTCACAAGCCTCTTAATTTCGTCTTTTGAAAAAGAACATGTAGATTGATAGTACCACACATAGTTCAGGCCAGTTTGAGAAAAAATATCTTTAACATATGCGAGCCATTTAAATAACATAGTTCCATTTTCATGTAATGTATACATAAGCTTATAAATAGTACTTGATAACTTACTAGAGGTAATCAACTTATGCCAGAATACTATTATTCTACATTTAATTTCGATGTCTAGTGGGTATCTTCCAAGCTCACCATAAACAATGAAATTTGGTGTACTTTTTCTTACATTTAGTATATATTTACAAAATTGAAGATGGATTTTTTCTATAATATTTGTGTTTTCAAAACCCCATATTTCTGATGAATACAGAAGAACTGGCATAATTAATGAATCAAATATCTTCAATTGTAGATCAACTGGTAAAGATATGTTTCTCAATTTCTTATAGACAGCAAACACTGATTTCTGTGCTTGTTCAACAATTTTTTTCCTTGCTGGTGCTTGAGGGGTACCCGCCAACATTTGCCCGATTGACAATGTGTTGTTACCTGAAACTAGTTTCATTATTAGATACAGATCTAGAGGAACTTATGAAATTCAACATCAATTTCTTTCGTTATTGATAGGTTGATTCCTTGTTTGATATTGTAATACATGTAATATGTTTTCGATTCACTATATTCTCCATTATTGACATTAAGAGACAAATGAGTTAACATTGATTCTAACAATGCTTTAAGCATTTTATTTTTGCTATATTGAAATTAAATTTGACGAAAGTAAAAACATGAAACACGTAGACTATTTTTTAGACATGTGAATCAATTCATAAAATCCAGTAATATAATTTGAACGATGTTTTTATGTTGTGTATTTATGTCAGTGAGAATATTATATATATTTATTCATGTTTTATTAAAATCATGTAATAGTAACTGTATAAATGTATGACGGGAGAAGGCTATGATAAGTTTTATCCAATCGATTGTTTAAACTTTGAAAAAAAAGAGAAATCCCGAAATGACTTTTGACATGTCCCGAAACAATCTGGAAAAAGTCCCGAAACAATTTTCGTCTTGTTATTATTATTATTACCTTTATTTTCTCCAGAAATGAAGAGTTACAGAAATAACGAACAATACACGTACAATTCAACACTATTGAAAGAGAAGAAAATGCATTCACAATCATGGTCACACCCTTACATAGTGACACACACATGCACATGGACAGACACACACATAAGAGAATAATAATAGTACCCGCATCATACCATAAAGTACTATAAACACAACACAATGATATAATAGGTACAGTCATTATACGGTGTTACTTATGATGATAGACAGTATAACACTAATCATACATTATATCACACATTGATATAATAGACATATTTACACTCCTCAAACTACATAATCATATAATAGTATAGACAGTAATACACTTCTCGTACTAAGCAATCATACAACATTGTAATAAACAGTATTACAGGCATCACACTATAAATCATACAGCATTATTATAGACAGTATTACTGTTACATAAGTCTTTCAATACAATCATACATTGAGTAGAACCCGTTGCACGAAGTCATACAATATAGTCATACAGTGGTGTTAAAATACACAACATACAATATAATAATTAACTTGAAGAAACAGCGCAGCCATGCAATGATTTCAGTTGTAGTAATACGTATCACAAGATTAATTCATACAATACAAACAATATTATGAACGGTAGTAAGTTGCACTAATCATGCAGCCCAATTGTGCAATGGTATAACAGGAAAGACGTAGGAAATGCTTGCCTTCTAATATGAATACAAAAATATATGTATTTCATGTATTAATCTTGCTGAAGCGTGAGGTACACACAAGGCAATTTGTGATCATATTACTCAGTATACAACATTCAAATATCTAAGGATAAATTACATAATATCACTGTATTGAAGAATTTTAGTAAAAATAACAATGGATTTTATTCTAAAGTCCTCCAGTTCATATTTGAAAATACCACCAAGAAGAACATGAAGTAGATGGTCATTAGACATTACATTAAGTCTATATCTTTTACAGTACTGAGTACACACCAGAGCTGGTCACGTAATAGCTCTGTGTGTGAGCATTCGAGTACACTATGCATAATAGTATTTTTGTGCATAGATCCACAGTAATGACACAAATATCTATTTTCATTATCGCGCATTTTAACACAAAGTTTAACAACTTTCTTAAAACATGGACTGTATTGTGGAAAGCGTAAAGCAAGTTTCCATATAGCATACGGTTGTATCTTATTATATAAAAGAGTGAAGCGAGAGAAGTCCCTATCAGCGTTCATTCTTTCACATAAATTAAACTGTTCATAGTTTTTTACATGGTCATTGACTAAACGCTTCCATTGACATTTGTTTGAAAATACACCACTCTTCACTTAAATATCACTTATTTTTAGCTTTATTTTCATATAGTTGTTTTTCTTTTTACACGTGTTGTTAATTTGAACCGAATACAAGTAATTGAAATGCGTTTACCCAGTAACAAATAATCTGACACCTACACTATCTATTTCATAGGTAAAAAAGGCGAAGAAAGAATTGGTGAAAGAGTGTAAACGGGGGAGCGTGCTTATTAGAATTTAACTTAAATGTTATCTGTGTATATAGTGTATAGTGTATATGGAATGTTACCAAAATTATATAAAAAATGTATATGGTAATATCATAGTGAATTTGGCGTCACAATTATCTTCCTGTTTATCATGCTCATATTTTCTCATTAATTAGCACCGAAAGTTATTTCCCACTTAAAAGCAGAAAGAGCACATTCAAAGACAATGTTTGCTAGTTTCATTAGCCGATAGTATCTGCAATTAGACTTCATTAATAAGAAATATAGTCTTTACATCAAAGTTCGAGGAAAACGGTACTTTTTTTCGTTAAATATTTAAACAAAAGTCTTACACATTTTATCAAATAAACATTCTTAGAACTCACCTAAGTTCGCCTTTAGGAAAAAGATAAAAATCTACACTACATGTGAAATTTGTGTGTCGTCAAAATAATTTTCATTATAGAATCATTTTTATTTATGCAGAAAAGGTAAAAAGCGCAGAATTTGAATGTAGGTTGTCGAGAGTCAATTTGATTTTTGTGTTAATATAATTAATACCTAAAAATATATAAAGAGCAAATGGATAAATGAAAAGAAAACCAACATTGAAAGAAAAAATTGCCAAATGTAGATTATCTAGTTATAAAATAAAGCTCAAGAAAATAACAATAAATAAAACGAATTATAAGAAATAATGCTTTACAATGTAGCAGGTGGTTTAAAATCCCCGCCAGTTATGTAAACTTTGAGAGCTCTCCTTCGATGGAGGTGAGGAAGGCCGATGTCGTTTAGGAACTTCATTTGCATATTTCTGTTTTGGCAGATGATTTTCAAATCTTTATTACGCATATAGCATATCTACAGAAAGATAGAGATCTCTACACAAAGTGATATGATGAGATCGGACACGAACGTTGAAACACGAACACGATTAGACGGAAGACAGTCTTTGACTAGACGCCGATTTACCAGAGTTACCAACAGCGGTGTAAACGGGGCATTTGAAAACGACCTTGCATTGGCGATGCAAGAGAGTTTGAGATACGCAAAACAGGAAGAAGCCAACAAAAAAAGGAAACAAGAGGAAAACATTATTGAAAGAAACGGGTTAGATGTCCAAAACAAAGTCGGAGAAGTAACGATGAGCGGCAGAGCTTGCATGGAATCCCCTCAGGGGCCAAAACAACTGAAGGAACTTTTGTTGTTACATGTCGATCTTGTTCAACATCAGCAAGAACTTCTCTCCCAAAAAGACAAGGCAATAAAAGCTTTGCATGAAGAAAGAACAGCAGTAAGTCGAAAATGTATATTCAAATTATTTTGTTGAAATCATGTTTTATAACATTTTACAAACATACGACTGTCAAGTGTCGTCTGTTGATTTCTCGCGTGCGGATGAATACATTCGTAGTTTCCTGCTGACAGTGTGAATAATAAGATCATTCGAATTTCTGAAATGGCTGCTTATATAAGCAACAGATACATATTGGTATATGTTTCTCTCTTTTGAAATAGTATAATGACTTGATGTTTAATCCGTAATCAAAGTATTTCTATGTTTTGTTTATGATTTTGAAATTCTATAAATAATCTTTGGTCACATGACCGACATGACTTGCTTCCCTTATAAATTGAACACATGAGAAGTGGGAATTAATTACTCTGTATCGAAAATAGAGTTGTCTTTTCTTGAATTAATTGAAAAATATCGACTGGCAAACGTTCATTATTACGTTAATTAAACAAAATAAAAAAAATAGCACCAAAAGAAAAAAAAACATCGTAAACGTGTCACGTGATTGGTCATGTGATGAAGCTCGGACCTAGCCGCCAGTCTTTGTGTGTATCGTGGCCGCAGTTGCAGGCGGATCCTCTGCTCTGTTCTCAAGAACTAATGAGTTCGAGGGTCTGCAGTATACTTAAGAAAATGACCGATGTGCTTTTTCAAACAAGGATTAATTTCGGTGTGAAGAAATGGTTCAAGAGACCCATGAACGGAGAGGTAGCGTTGTTATTCAAAATGGCAGACGATCGGTGTTTGATTTAAAATGGCCGCTGGTTATGTTTACAAAATTTGTATCACAATTAGTGATATTATTATAATATTGTTTGGAACAAAGCAAACCTTTGTTGTTCAATATTATTGCTTAGATCGTAATGAAACTGTTTCGTATGAAACTTTTCGCGGGATCACTGGTCCAGTACTAGGCGAGTCTTCACGGTGTATTTTAATGACGCGTGGTCATCGACATGTTTACATGCAGGTGGACATGTCGAACATTGTTGTTAGTGGTATATCCTTCTAGCCTTTGTTCAAGCGTAACTCTGCCCTGGGGTTATACATTTGTTTGTGTGTCCAGGAATGTTTACCTTTCTAGAAAGATGTATTTATAAACATATAACTTCACGTTTTTTCTATCATTTTGATAAATTCTTTATTTCATTAGACGATTTTAACAGTTCAATTACGAATTTGTGTTACATGATTGAGCTATAATTATACTATCATAAAGTATCTGGTAATATAAGATTGTACAATTATTATAGACTTGCATAGCAATTGAAATTTCTTTTTCTCTTTGGTGTATTTGTTTCACCGAAACGGGGGATAATAATTTTGGTTTGTCTGTCTGTCACGCTTCTTTAGCATGCAATAATTACTACAACAAATGTTAACCGTTTTTTTTTTTCAAACTTGGTCACAGGGTTAAATGCCATAAGGGCTCGGCCAAGTTCGTTGACCACTTTCAGCGGACCCCATTTGGTGTAGTTATGGCCCCTTGAATAATGAAAACATCTGTAGTTTCTGTCCATTTACTCTCGTAAATATTATCCGATTGTCCTCAAACTTAGTAACAGGGTTCAGTGCATTAAGGGCTCGGCCAAGTTTGACAACCACTTTAATCAGACTATTTGGCAGAGTAATGGCCATTTGATTAACGTGTTGGCGCTAAATATCATATGGAGCACAATTCGCCTCCAAATGAATCTTGTTTATGTAATTCTTTGTTTTACATACAATAGAAGGGTCATATTCACATGAACACACGGTACATAAACATATATACTAAACAAAAAAAATCCAACCTACCTACCCTTGTTTTTTTTGCCCATGCAACCCTAAACAGACTAAAACAAAAAAAATGGCCTAACCTACAATATGTCCTGCAAGCGGGGGATTTAAATTCCACCAATTTGCTTGTTATCTGATCATTAGTTCATCACTTGAGAAATCTGAGATGAAAAGCGACTGAATAGAACTCATAAATCCATTATGATGTTCCTTAACTTTTTGCCACAAAACATATATGGTAAGAGGAGGAATGGTTAATTTACTAGCTTATATATTATAGATACAGAAAGAAGGAAGTGAAAAGCAACAGTGGAATCCCATATTTTTAATACTATTAATTATGTCTTGCATTCCTATGTGGAACAAAGTTTTCATTTGTTAGGGTCCACACACTAGCACAATCACTGAGCAATAAAAAGCAAAAAAGAAAAATATATATACTGCTAAATAATTTAAGATTTACACCAAAATTGATTAAAGAAGAGCTAAGGCAGATCTATTCTTATTTTCTGCTTTTATAACTTAAGTTGCACTTACCAAAATTTAGGCACAACTTGATTAGTTATTATATGTTGATATGGCACTCCTATAATGCATAAAGTACATAATGTAATTAAAATCATCCCAGAGTAATCTGCACAGTTGAATTAACAGCAAATTGCCAATTACATACATATATATAATATGACTCATGAGAGACATACATATATATATATAATATGAGAGACGACTGTTGGGATATCGTGCAATAATTTAATTGCCTTAAATATGTTTTGCACTTATATGGGAGTAGAAAAACAAAGTGTTCGTATACCAATCTGAAGACACAAGTGTTTATGTATTAAACAATGCAATTATCTACCAATGTATTTTAAAATGAAAAAAATATACATCATTGTTTCAATCTTACCAACTCAGTGATGAATTAAAGGTATAAAATATTATAGTTACATGCACGATGAGAAAATTGTGAGCCTTAAAAGCTAATATAATACTTATTGATGCATTTTTCTCACTAAATTTTGAAAAAGTGGTGAAGTTGAATGTTTGCTTCCTCTAATGTTGACCTATACAGAAAATATAAAATGGCTGTTCAAAGTTGATTATTATATATATATATATTAATAACTTAAGCAGTAACCAGCTTTTAATGAGAACAATTATTTTGAGTCATTGTAATGACCAGTTCCATATATATAGATTGTATTTCCCTCTAATAGACTATACAAAACATGATTTTCTTTATCAGGTTGAACAGTCATTAATCATGTCAATGATGTCATCAGTATCATTTTTTTTTTATAAATAACAATTATTCAATATATATAAAGATATCTTTGGTTTTATATTTTAAAGATTCATTTCTATGTTATCCAGTTAACATGTCGTCTAGACCGGATGGAGAGGCGGATGTCACTTTTAAAGCAGAAAGATGACTACTCCGATATACAAAACAAGTCATTTGGAAGTCCAAACTCATGTGCGCAGTCTGCATCAAAGACAACACATGAACAAGCATCAACTTCAGTAGACCGAGGAACAAAGCGGTGAGATAATCAGTTTGTGTGAGGCTGTTAGTATACATAGTTAGAGGTAAAATCAATTTTCCAATTAAAATCAGATTTTCAAATTAAGCCAGTCTTGAAGTTAAGACGGATGTTTCCAAAGATTCTAATTATTCCTGTTACATGCTGTATGGGGTCTGAACAAATTGGTGTATTTATATAATTACAGAAAGTCGGCTGGCCTGGAGCCTCAGAATCTCACCAAAAGGTTTACAGCAGAAGCCCAAAAACCACTAGCTTCATCAACCCCAAGTCACCGTACCGAGCGACACCAGCGATACAGAAATAGGTCTGCCACAGTATCTTCAACAGTATCCTCTACCCTTAGCATTGACCCTGCAACCTCCAACACTGCTAGTTCTCGCAAGAACCGTCGGTCGGCCAAATGTATCCGCGATAGTCCGGACAACTCTGTGTTACGCACCAGTGACCCTTATTATGTGGCATACTATGAACCCCCAGACTCGGAAGACATTGACCTGGAATCTCGAGGGGACATCGTCCAGGGGGCACAAAAAGAGCTGCAAGGTAGGAAAAGGACCAGACCTGACCGATGAGCAGTTTTTACTTAAGTCCAGTTCGGTCGTTGTCCTATTGTCACGTGTCTTATTGTCAAATGTTGTATAATTATATGTATAGACAGATATTATAAATGAGTGTTATTTCATTAGATCTACATGAACTGAATTTCATGGAAATTTTTTAAATTTTTGCTATGGTTAAATTTCAGACTTTATTCAGCACCAGACCATGGCCACTGGTAATTAGGTCTTATTTCTGTTAATTAATGATCAGGAACCCGAGTGATTTATTTTGGACATTTTTGGATGGGGTATTTTATTAATTAGGAAAGCCCATATTCATATTAATATCAAATATATATACAAGAACTGTATACTGAACGTTTTACTCCCATGTGATGTTATTTATCTTAAAGTTTTCTGATATTTTCGTTGCAGTTGAATTACCACAGTGGCAAAATAGAACCTACACCAATCTGTGGGTACTGGAGGGAACAGAGGTAAGAATCAAACAGAAACGACTACATCAAAGGGAGAAAGATGGATGAGTAAGAAAAAGGCATACAATTGGCTAGAGGAAATATCTCATTTGTTTTCTGTTGGCTGTAGAATTATGTGACATAATTTACCTGATATAGTCACTAGAGAGACATACCAGATTGAAAATCATTCTTAAAAGGGGGAAACAAATCTGCTATTCAATGCAAACCATCATCTTTTCAGTCAAATGATTACTTAACCGTAAGACCCCAGTCAGTCATTTGTCTAGAAGTGTTGCAGTAACAGTGGTCGGTCAGTGCATGGCTGGCTGATTATGACGACCAGTACAGGTGCATTTTATTGTAAGAGGGATTTAAATTTTGCAGCACAAGTCAGCTTATCATGTTAATATTAAATGTCTGTCCAATAAAAATTAAAACCTGGTGTCAAATGGTTGATCATCTGATGATGAATATATACACCCCAAGTTAGTAAAAAATTAAACCTGGTGTTGAGCAGACTATAGCTACATAACTGTATTCATCACCAGAGAAACCAAGAAAGACAACTGCGGGAAAGATTTTTACAAGGGAGATTAATCTTACAAAATAAGTCCAAAATATATCTCATTAAAATATATTTGATATTAAAAATATTGCTGCTTTTGATGAAATTTGAAAGCTGAAGACAAAATATAAACATTTATTGCAGAAGCTGATCAGTTTTAATGTTTCATGATGAAAAAGGATTGCATGCTCTGTTGGTAAAAATACCTGCTTTATGATAGCTAGTGTACGGTTAACTGTTTATTGTATGCTGTATACTGTGTGTTCTTTTGATAGAATCTCGAGGATGAAGTATTTCTTAAAAGACACCAGAAGCCTGAGATAGAAGAGAAACGAAGAAAGAGGTAGGTGTACAATAAATAGTTAAAAATACCGCAATAAAAAATCATATTTTGTACAAGTCTATGTTTAAAAAGAATAAAAGTATTTGACTGTGACATGCTTAGCTTTTGTACCATTGCACTTAATTCACATTCTTGATATGTAATGATTATCACTATTAATACATTTGTGTTTATATTCGTCTCTGAGAGACAGAACATATTATGTACTTGCATGTGAACGGACTGGCAGTGAGTCAAACGGGCATACAGTATCCGGTCAATATCTTGAATAATTATCGACAGATTAACTTCTAACTTTAAAATTATTATAAGAATGTAAATAAGAAACCCTGCGTCGGGTACATTAAGGCTGTAAGATTTCTTCTTTAACACCAGTAACAAAATATTCCATCTTACAAATATACTGATCACACAAGGCACAGTTGTATGGAGTACCTCTTTGTGGTAACCTTGGGCTGTTCATTTATGCCAAATAACTGGTATGTCTGCTTTTAAATGCAAAATTTTATAGGTATAAATCCTGCCAGACAGGCAAATGTTTATGCAGGCCTTGCAAGGCTTTGTCAAATCTGAAAGCAGCATAATATTACTAGGACCGACCTTATTTCATAAATCACAACTCTGGTCCAACCGTTTGGATCGCAATAAATGAAAGCAGTCCTGGTTTTAATTGAACTAATATAACAGTCGGAATGTAATCTATTTGTATTGTGATATGTAGATGGGATCTACAAAGAATCCGGGAGCAAAAGATCTATGAGAAACTTAAAGAAAAGGAGCGAGGAGAAGTGTGCACCAAAGATGAGGGACAACAGTCTACCCTCGAGTCTTTCTACCCCAGCCTTGATAATAGTAAGTATCCTTGTTCCTGTACATAAAGGGGGGTGTTCAAACAACCTTATACAATGTAGTAATTATAAAGATCACATGTTGATGATATTCAGAATAAAGGTCAAACAGTTAATGTATTTTCACATTTCTCTCCTATGATTGTGTGAAGTGAAATTCCAATATATTTTCTTCATTCAACGTGAACGTTTATGTCACTAATGACTAGTATTTTCTGATGTTTATCACAAGAATTGTACAGATAATGAAGTGTCTGTATTTGCATATCTGTATATATTATCTTTTTAATTGTTTAAAGGGTTGTTGTTCATTGCATATACAATAGATAAATCTCTTTCCAAATGTGTCTTGTGGATAATCTTACTAAAGGGGATATTATTTAAATTATTGCATGTTTCAAGTAAAATTAAAAGTGATCTTATACTTAAGCTAGTCATACTAAAAGGTACTGTTTCACTTGCATTTTCATAAACTTTCACCGTTGATTTACATGTATGATGCCCCTTAAGATCAAAGGCCCATGTTATACTCAATATGGGGAAATTTTCACCAAGTCAAATTTTCCTTCGTCTCTGAAATCCAAATTTGTCCATTATTAATTTTGCCTTTCAAATTTAATTCTATATAAATTATGTTGTTGAATCATGTTTGCTGTAATGATAAATTTGCCCTCATTTAAGAGGACGAAAAAGGTGAAAATTAAATTGCAGTGAAAATTTCCCAGTAAACTGTATTTTGAGATTTGCTATATCTGGTGTACATTTTCTCTTCACAGTTACACATATAGAGGTAACTAACAAAATCCCTGTAATGGTGTTTGGACATCCTGTGCCAAATCTAGACAAAATGTAAGTACACACATGTACAGGAGACCAAACAAACATTTGTTATGTTGGCCAGCTTTATAGGCAGAGCTCGGACGTAACAGTTTTAGAGGTTTCTGTCGAATAAGTAGCAATAAACCCAAAGCGCTCTATGTGGTCCTTCCTTCATAGTACTAGCTCTTATACCATTATCTAAAATCTTTTATGTGAATTGATCTTGTAAGAATGTTTAATGTAGAAACACGTTTAATTAGTGTCAATGATTTACTTTAGTCAGGCATAACCAAACTCCTCAATCTACACATGAAAAGTCTTTATTTGTACCTATCATTTAGTTTCAGATTCAATCAGTTATATGTTATTTGACTGCTTTGTGAACTTCAGCATGACTTCCGATAGGGTGTTTGGGGACCCCTAATGGCATTACAATTAAAAAAAAAAAGAACTTTATTCAAATGTCAGAGGGTGTCTTTGCAACTTTTTCCCAAAAAAATATGAAGCAGAATTTTACAGAAATGTACATTCATTGTATTATGAAAGCCAACCTGATGATATGCATATATATATATATTTCATTTCACAATATAGAAAGAGCCAGTAATGCATTACTTTTGAAAAAAAAGAGCTTAAACTTTACAGTTAAGAACCGAGTATGATATAAATTTTGTGTAGCCTCAGATACAACATATAATACGTATTACAGAATAAAATTTAGACCAAATTAAAAGCAAGTTTGCTTTCATTGACTCTTCATTAGGATAAAATCTTAGTGTATAAAATGTACTCATTTCCTTCGCTGTTAAATATGTGTCTTATAACATTTTTGAAATCTTCAAATGAAATTTAAAACTAAGCATAGTGTTTGATTTTGCCTGTTTTTACACATGAATTTGATAAAAAACGTATTTTTTGATATTTCAGGGAATTTTCATTACCATGGGAACTAGAAACAAGTGCATGTGCGCATCCATCTCGGTCTAGTCGGAGCAGCCGCCATACATAGTAAAGCTACAGACGTGATTGAATCCCACCAGACTACTGCCCCGGGACCCACCAGTCATATCATCACAGCTGTGCTTCATAATGCATCCTCATTCAGTACCAGGTGCCACACATAGTAAAGCTCCAGACGTGATTAAATCCCACCAGACTACTGCCCGGGACCCACCAGTCATATCATCACAGCTGTGCTTCATAATGCATCCTCATTCAGTACCAGGTTGCCAAACTGCTCTTCAGGAAAACATTGAGGTTGAAATCCAGCTTTCCTTGTAAAGTTTTGACAATTTAAATTGATATAGGAGCAAACAAGTTAAGCTGTTTTATGAACGATCATATACAAAGTGGAGAGCATTTATATATAGTCTGAATTGCTGTCTATTGCTGAGAAAGTCACCGCCTAAGCAATTTGCACAACCATCTGTGTTGTGTTCATTTACCTGTACAAATGGTAGATTGGAACTGGTTCTCATATAAAATGGAACAAACCTGTGTGATTTTGATACACAACACATCATCTGGTTTAGATCTGTGCGATTAATGTCCCTCAACGCCGCAGCGTCACAGTGCAAGTTCAGGCATAGAGTTGGTCACACTAGATCAAACAATGATCCAGTGTCATAAAGCAAAGTACTGAATTGTGTTAGAGGCTTTGGAAATATTTTTCAATCGACCAATTGTTACTGTGTTCATCATTTTAAATGTACTGGGATCATTCATTTTAATAGAAACAATAGCATTGCCTGTTTCATGTGGTGCCAAATGTTATATCAAAGCCTTGTGCAATGTTATATTTGATCATCATTCATCATCATCATCATTGCCAACCATAACTTTTGACAACTGACATAACATAACGGTGTGTGGCTAGTGTGTACCATCGGGTGTAATGTTGTTTACATTGTCGTAAATATCACAGTCGTGGTGCCAACTAACACTATGTAATAGCATTGTACAGTAGGTTGGGGGATTTCTTTGACCTGATAGTAAGAGCATGAAATCTTAAATGGGTTTGTTGACTTGAAGTATTACAGGACGTAGTAAAATCCACCTTAGTTAGTAGTGCTTTTTTTTTGGGATGTGATTTTTATCAAAAGTTTGTAGTTTTGATAAAAGAAAAATCCAAATTTCTTTAAATTAGAATTGCTATCACAATAAATCCTGTGCTATTGTTGTACACCAGACAATTAACCAAATGCCTCCTTAACTAACAGTATTGAAGGTTAGCTCGGTGTGTATTTTATATTTATGTTGAAACATCCATATAGAATCTTATAAATGTTTTGCAGTTACTTAGTCATGGATGGATACAAAAAAAAATGATAAAGTGGTATGGTAGCCAAAACATCATAAAGTGACAGAATTTATTGTAAGAATTCTAGTTCATATTCTTACCATTGTGTGTGTTCTAGGCACTTTATAGAAATTCCATTATGTTTTTTGTCTTCAGATCTGGCAGTTTTAAACAAGTGACAATTTTGCTGAATGAGGAATGATTCTGTTGAAATGTGCATTTTCTTTTGACTGGTTGACCAGTGAAATATGTACTAACCCAAAATAAAAGAACAGATTTTTGTACAAGTATTGCCAACTACTGTACCAAAGAATTTGCATTAAAAGTATTTGTACACGTAGTAAAAGAGAACTGTAATGTAGTGTGGGCATATTTGGGTGATGTGACTGAGGAAAGTCTGATGGACTTGATTTGGTATGGAATGGTAAAAGGGAGATTCCTTTGTAGCAACAATATGGCGGTTTGTTAGTAGTGATCTCGATATTTTAAAATCTTTTCCTTGATAACTTTGAAATGATTGTCATGTGTTTTGTAAGTTTGCTTATGCCTAGTTGTGTATTCAGATAATTGTTGAAGTTTGAGAGTATTTAAAACGTTTATATATGAAAGTTTTACTTATTTATTTTAGAGTGACATGAAGAGATGAATGTTTTTAGTCAGTTTTGTGAATATTGTACAGTATGGAAACAGATTTTATGTTTATTGTGACATTTTGTTTGTACAGTACATATTTGAAAAAGTGTTGAGAAATCCTGGAGATGTCTGAATTCTACTGGTGACTGGAAAGGTCTGTTGTCTGTCGTTTTTGCTGAAGCAAGTTCTCTTTTGATTGTATGCATATTCAAATATCAATCTTTTTATGGATATTATTTGTTAGAAATTCAGGAGATGAAAGCGTTGTTTTGAGGAATCGGTATAGGATACTTTATGTTTGAAAGTATACTTAGATTTAATCAGTGGTTCTGCTTGTTTTAATATTTTATTAATGTATTAATTGTTTCATATCTAGGTTTTCTAATATAAATGGCATTCAGTAATGTAGGCGTCTCCTGCTGCATGGTACACTGGCCAGTAACTTTGTATTTAGTACAGGATTGTAAAATGACGATGCCGTGTACGGGAACATTTCCTTGTGTGGCCATTATCATGGTAAAGACAAAAGATTAGTCATGTTGTAATGTTGTTGACAAATGTTCTAAGAGTAATATACATTGTGATGTTTCTGAGCCCTCATTTAGTAGGACACACTATAATTAATAAAACTCAAAAGATAATACATTCATTGTTGAAGTTTTCACATTTTGATATATTTAAACCAATTTCCTGTTAATTACACCCTGAAGGTAAGTATTTCATACCAAATACTGTAAAAGTTTTTCACATGGTTCTGAATATTTTTTGCTGTGTGCAGTAACTTTTTTTTTGGCGAAAAAATTTGATCTGCAAAATTTATTGGAAACAAAAACATGTGTCATGGCCACTAGCCCTAAAATCTGCGAAAAATTGACCATTTGAGTAAATGCTGTAAAAAGGGTTTACAGTAGATCTATACCAAATGAGAGGAATTGGTAAGACAGATGCGCAGCAATTATGCTCACTGAGAAATGTTTCATATCAGTGTATCATAAGTACACTTTAAACTAGCCATGTAAAATATAGGGAAGACTATGATAATTGCTATCACACGAAATGTATTGGGTTCATTGTATGAGAGATTTGTATGTTGTACCAACATACTTGATTTTGAGAGATTTAGAGTGTTGTACAAATCTACTATTGTTCTGGACCAAGTGCTTTGCATGTCATTGCCAGTTGTCCACTTATGTATGGGATATTTACATATGAAAACCAATAAAACAAAATTGTGATTTTTTTTTGAGCTTTTCATTTGTACAGCTTGAACCAAGAGATTGTGTTTAAGAGTGGTTTTAGGAAGCAATGCTGTCGTAGCTTGCTGTCTGTCAACTATAAACTGACCCTCTTCCATATAGTTCAGTTCCAATTTGTAATACAGCTGGAACATGCATACCAGCATTGATGTATTAAACCGAATAATTTTGTTTTTAATTGTGTATTGAATATATGTTCTCTTGATATACATCAGAAGACCTCTTCAGATGATCCTTTCATGTGTAACAGTAAAAGAAAAATTCAACAGCCAGACTGGAGTTCAAACCCGTGATCATCTAAACTCTAGACGAACGCCTTATCAATTGAGCTTCCTGGTCGCCAACGATCGATTAAGTACAGTTTCGCTTCGTTCTTTTCTCCTTTCTCCTAGTCTTAGCCCCCAAAGATACAAGGTTCAGATATCCCCTTGCTAAGCATTCACCCAGTGCTTGAAACAAGGGTTGGCGATAGACCCAGTCCAGTTCTGCTACACTTGTTTGCTGGTGAGATTACAAAGTATAAGATAAATATAAGGATTACACTACTGTATATGTTGCACCTACTCAAACTCTGGTACATGTATTTGAAAATAAGGGGCAGCTTATTCTGAGGAAAGCTAACTTTAAGTTCTGTCGGGGCATTTTAGGTAGAAGTGTGACATACTGTATAACAGGATTTTTTCGTCACAGTTTCCTTGTTTTACTCCTCAGTGAGAGCAATTTGATCTTGACGGCAAATACACAACTTACCTTACATAGTTATTGCATGTGAAGGGCAAAATATACATAGGTTGACCAGGGATTTTACAGGTTACATGTGAATAACTGACTAGTGGAACGTTTCCCGGTTTATAGTTAACAAATCATGTTGGCTGTGTGTAACTGCAGGCCCTCGTCCAGAACAGGGCTTATAATTACCTGAAGGTCTATGACTTGCTACCAAGATCAAATGATTTAAAGATCTTGAGTGCTCTGGTAACACTTGGTCCTGCGGAAATTGTGATTGAAGTATTTTAGATTCACAAGTCCTTGTGTTAGGTATTATCTACACCAAGGATGACAAAGTTTTGATCCAAAAATCATAATAATGTAATTAATATCAATTTTCGAACCAGGTGAGCTTATGCCATACCGCAGCGTCCTTCAGTCAACTTTTCCTTTAAAACGCTACTAGTCCTGAACGGCTAAGTAGAATTTGACTTAATTTGGTCTGGGCATCCTTAGGCCAAGGATACTCAATTTTATATAAACGGTGGGTGTGGCCCCCGCTGGGGACAGAGGGGCGGTGCCAAACAATGGAAACAGAGGTAAAACCTTTAAAATCCTTCTTCTATCGTAGGGATTTTATTCTAACGTAGCCTGGAGCATCCTTGGGCCAAGGGAACGCAATTTTGTATAAACAGGGGGTGTAGCCCCCTTGGGGGCAGTGGGGCGGGGCCAAATAATGGAAATAGAGGTTAAACCATTAAAATCCTTCTACCGTAGGGATTAAAGGATTTTGTCCTTATTTAGTCTGGAGCATACTTGAGCAAAGGGAATTCAATTTTGTATAGACGGTGGGTGTGGTCCCCTTGGGGGCAGAGGGGCTGGCAAAATAGGGGAAATAGAGGTAAAACCTTTTAAATCCTTCTACCATAGAGATTAAAGAATTTTATCCTAAAAAAAGTCTGGAGTATCCTTGCATCTTGGTCTTCGTGTGGCCCCCCCCCCCCCCCGGGGGCAGAGGAGCGGGGCCCAATAGGGGAAACATAGCAAATTCTTCAAATCTTCAAAATCCTTGTCCTTCTGTAGGAAAGACAGGATTTTGACCAAATAAACGGTCAGGGCCCAATAAGGGATATAGAGAAATAGCTTTGATATCCTTTTTTCTACCGTTAGGATGAAGGTATTTTGACCAAATTTGAACAGTAGTATCCTATGGGGAAGGGAAATCAATTTTGTGTAAATGGTGACCCCGAGAGGTGGGGCCCAATAGAGGTAGTTTAGCAAATTCTTGAAAATTCTTCAGTATTAAATAACAGGATTTTGTCCAACTTTGGTCTTAATCGCCATTGGGTAAAGGCGACCTGATTTTGTATCAAAGGTGGGTGTGACCCCCCTCGGGGAAACATAGCAAATTCTTCAAAATCCTTCATTTCCTGTAGGATTGACAGGATTTTGTCCAATTGAATACAAATATAACCCCCGACTAACCATGTAATACATGAACACTACCAGCAACATCTGGCTATTCCAACTTCAATTTTACTAACATTTCCAGGTAAGCGATACAGGCCCTTTGGGCCTCTTGTTATTTTGGGGCAAGTGAGACCGCACCTGGGTACATAATCTTTTTAGCATAAGCATCTGTGGCACCTTGATTGTCCATCAGTCTTGTCAACTTTCATTGGCAAGAATTCTTGTCCAGAATAGTTTATTGGATTGTGACCAAATATTTGGGTGGAGCACTCCTTGGTAAAGGGGACAAAATTTTAATACACCATTTAAGGGTTGGCTCCCCTAGGGGCAGGGATCAATAAGGAAAATCTTTAAAAACCATATCCTAAATTGATATTAACCTGATGTGTTGTAAAATATCCTTAAAACAAGTTGACTTGATATTAAATTTACCTAGCTTTGACCTTTAGATCGATTCTTTTTCCACAGGGCAACACTTTCACAAAGTTAACAGAGATCCCAAAGGGATCTTGGCACCCACCATAGAACCATCTTCATTAGTTCTATGTCAGTTTGATCTTTTCTCTTATCTGTTTGCTTATCCACCATCTTAATCAATCTTTTGATCAACCTCAAAAGTTAGCATGCACTACTCAGGAACAAGGGGAACTTGCATATCAAATTTGAGAATAATTCCTCCAGTAAATTCTCAGAAATAACAAAATTAAACTGTAACAAGACGTCTGGCCGATATGATTTGATATGATTAACTAAGAACAAGAGGAACCTTCATGTGAAATTTGAGAAAGATCCCTCCAACATTTTTTGGGCAATAGGGCTAAAAAACTTTTACTCCCAAATTCAATACATCCACCTGCCGGCCATCCTGGTTTTCCAATACCTAAAATTTAAAATGCTGAACTAGGAACCACTAGGACACCTCCTGAACATTCATTCTCAAATACAAGATGGCTGCCTGTCGAGCCATTTTGGTTTTTTGATCAGTCCCAAAAAGTAATATGCAAAACAAGGGATCATGGGGAACCTTCATGTGAAATTTGAGAAAGATCCTTCCTGTAAGTTCTTGGAAATAGCACTAACAAACTTTCATTCTCAAATTCAAGATGGCGGCCTATCGGCCATGTTAGTTTTGTGATCAGTCCCAAAAATCAATATGCATAACTAGGCACCATGGGGAACCTTTATGTGAAATTGGAGAAATATCCAACCAATACTTTTATGAGAAATAGCTCTAACAAACTTTCATTCTCAAATTCAAGATGGCTGACTGTTTGCCATCTTGGTTTTGCGATCAGTCCCAAAATAATATATGCATAACTACGGATCATGGTGAACCTTTATGTAAGATTTGAGAAAGTTCCTCCAGTATTTTTTGAGAAATAGAGCTTACAAGAATTGTTAAGGGAAGGAATGACGAACAGACGCAGTGTGATTTTAATAGCCCACCAAAGTTGTAAAGAGCATGATGACTATATCTTCCCAAATTTTTTTAAAAGGGAAGGGAGTCTGTTGGTGTCACTTAGTGTCTATAAATGTTAAGATTATCCACTACTTCATGAGTGTTACTGTTACTCTGGTATCATACACTCTAAATATACCTTAACATACCTGAATCTGTACCGCATGACAAGTTTATGCTTTTTTGGATGATGGTGATATGTATTCAGGAAAAACTAAAAGACAATACTTCAATGTTTCAGTTTTATTAGCACCATAATTCAAACACAGACTCGCTCTCCTAACTCGCATACCCACACTCAAGTACCAATACATTCATACCAGACTTTGTACCACCTTAATTCAGTAACCATAATACACAAATTGTTTGTGTGGACATTTTCAGGTTTCATTTTATGACACAATTACAGAAAATTTTGATGCATCATTCTTCATTTACCAATTTTCTATGGATCTTGTATTTATACTGTGAAACAACATCCTTTAATAAAATGTTTCGCATTAATTTAAAAAACTTTCTGCATAATGAATGCACTGTTTGAACACAAAATTTTATTTCTCTTCTTCCTGTAAAATGATAACATTGCATTTGATTTTGCACGACTTGAAACATAACAACATAAGACATTAAATGTTAACCCTGATGAAAGCATTACTTTTCGGTCTGTACCTACCAAAAGTGATGCTGAATACAGTAACAATACACAAGCGGGTCAATAGGGAAAGATGCTTTTTTTTCAGATGTGATTCTTAAGGTTTGTCCACCTGCTTAACGAATGTTTTCTTGAAAATAACTGCAAAAATGACAATCAAAATCCTAGGCAAACTTCAACAGCCCACATGGTTTGTCTGTATTGAATAGCGAAATAATTCTGGTTCATCGCCTACTTGGTATCTGTTTGGCTTCACAAACAGTCTATTTCATTGTTATTATGGTCACCATGAGATGATCATAACTTCCTTGTAGGTTGGTGTTTGTTTCTTTCACTCCATGTTTCTGTGAAATTGTATTTAACACAAGTTCTTTCCATTTTTAACAATCCAGTTCCCATCCGATTGTCGTGTTTCCATGGTTATCCATACTGTGTGAACTTAAGCATGGACTGGACGTCTCCTTATAGCTGATTGTTAACAGTCACAGATAGGTATAAGTGTAACCAAATGGACTACAGACCATCCTAGTAATTCACAGAACCTAATACCCTAAAGTAAGAAATCACACTTTCAACTAGTTGCATTGTATTGGTAGACCTTGAGATGGCCATCAGCTCCTCCAGATAACATTAGGCTGGGTATTGACCAATCAACAGCAAGAATTTTCTCTTCGTGACCTGTCATGTTGTAGAGAGGTACCTTTGGGCTAAAAGAAAATTAGAAAAATTTCATGATATGCATGATACATACTATCCAACTTCAATTGCAAAATGAATGTATTATTAAACAAGACAGTCATGATGCATATGACACAGAAGATCATGGACAAACATTCTGCTTCAGTCACATTATTCTACCATTGTTCTACCATTGTTAAGACAACAACCTTCATAGGAGGCTGAAATATACATATATGATGATGATATGGTAAAGTCAACTAAAGGGTGACTATCACTACAGCACATGATTATTTTTGTTTTGTTTCGGAATCCCCTCTTAGTTTCTGTTCCATGTGAAATAATGACTCTCAGACTTGTGAAAGAGATTGAACCTGTAGAAAAAATTCTCACCTTCTGGTATCCCACATTTTCATGTAGTTGTCATAGGATCCAGATATAAAATGGTATTCGTTCTCCTTTGACCAGGCAACACTAGAGACCCAGCCGTTGTGCGAGGTGTAGGTACACTTTACTATCGCCCCCTCTGTAATAAATGGTAAAGCCAGATATTCAGCAAGAAACATGAATAGTTTAAAGTATTCATCAGTAGGAAAATGTAGAAAACTAGAAATTTCATACAAGCTGAAATACAGACTTAATAGCTGAAGAGAAATGCATGTAAATTATCAAATTCATTATATACTACAATTCTTTGCATGAAATATATACCGCTGAACTGATGAACATGGAGCTCTATACAAAGTGTAACCAACGGAAGAGATCTAAATGAAAGTCTAACCAAGATGACGTGTTAACATACATACATGTACGTCAAAGCATATCTGTCCCTTCCATTATGTGGCGGACCATAAAGATTGTAGTTTGAACCACTGACTAAGTATACTCGTCATGGATTGACTTGCCCTTGAACCACTGACTAAGTATACTCGCCATGGATTGACTTGCCCTCGCGGAAAGTTACAAGTAAAGTGTAGAAGGTTAAGGTCATCAAACACTTGTCAACCAATGTGGCATCTGCCAAAGTTTGACTTATCCTCGTTAATAGTTACAAGTTAAGTGGAGAAGGTTCAGGTCATCAAACTCACCCCATCTGGAGTCAATGTAACTTATGTAACATCTTTAAAAGTTTGCTGTGCCTATTGATCTATACCAGGTCCCAATGGAGTCCGTGTTCTATTGATCTATACCAGGTCCCACTGGAGTCCGTGTTCTATTGATCTATTCCAGGTCCCACTGGAGTCTGTGTTCTATTGATCTATACCAGGTCCCACTGGAGTCTGTGTTCTATGGATCTATACCAGGTCCCACTTGAGTCTGTGTTCTATTGATCTATACCAGGTTCCGCTGGAGTCTGTGTTCTATTGATCTATACCAGGTCCCACTGGAGTCTGTGTTCTATGGATCTATACCAGGTCCCACTGGAGTCTGTGTTGTATGGATCTATACCAGGTCCCACTGGAGTCTGTGTTGTATGGATCTATACCAGGTCCCACTTGAGTCTGTGTTCTATTGATCTATACCAGGTCCCACTGGAGGCTGTGTTCTATGGATCTATACCAGGTCCCACTGGAGTCTGTGTTCCATGGATCTATACCAGGTCCCACTTGAGTCTGTGTTCTATTGATCTATACCAGGTCCCACTGGAGGCTGTGTTCTATGGATCTATACCAGGTCCCACTGGAGTCTGTGTTCTATGGATATATTTGTATAGAGCCCCTGTGTCACTTACCCGAAACCCTGGGGTCCCACATTCGTATAGAGCCCCGGTGTCACTTACCCGAAACTCTGGGGTCCCACATTCCTATAGAGCCCCTGTGTCACTTACCCGAAAACCTGGGGTCCCACATTCGTATAGAGCCCCGGTGTCACTTACCCGAAACTCTGGGGTCCCACATTCGTATAGAGCCCCTGGGTCACTTACCCAAAACCCTGGGGTCCCACATTCGTAGAGCCCCTGTGTCACTTACCCGAAACCCTGGGGTCCCACATTTGTATAGAGCCCCTGTGTCACTTACCCGAAACCCTGGGGTCCCACATTCGTATAGAGCCCCTGTGTCCCTTACCCGAAACTCTGGGGTCCCACATTCCTATCGAGCCCCTGTGTCACTTACCCAAAACCCTGGGGTACCACATTCGTATAGAGGCCCGGCGTCACTTACCCGAAACCCTGGGGGCCCACATTTGTATAGAGCCCCGGTGTCACTTACCCAAAACCCTGGGGTCCCACATTCGTAGAGCGCCTGTGTCACTTACCCGAAACCCTTGGGTCCCACATTCCTATAGAGGCCCGGTGTCACTTACCCGAAACCCTGGGGTCCCACATTCCTATAGAGCCCCTGTGTCATTTACCCGAAACCCTAGGATCCCACATTCGTATAGAGGCCCGGTGTCACTTACCCGAAACTCTGGGGTCCCACATTCGTATATGTCGGTCTGCTGAGGCAGTCACAATCTGTTGGTTCAGTTCAGAGTAACTTACATCTAGGAACACCTTAGAACTTTGCTGCAAAAAGAAAGAGAAAGTGAAAAAAACTGAAACTCACACCAAGGAGGAATAGCATCTCTGTTTATTGCGAGATATTTCATTTGAGGGATCCTCTCAATGAAACGGCTTAATCCTGGATTGGTCTGATGCTGCTAGCTTCCCTTCTTGATTTTTGTAATTAACAGATATTTGGTCATTTAATATAACAACATACAGAAATATTTCTGAGCAAATTAAGCACTCGACTTCTCTACATCACTCCTGCATGTTACTTTTTGTGAACACTTAATGAATATTTGACAGATAATTACTTGATGAACATTTCACACATCATACCAGATTCTATTACTCTCAATGAGTACATGTACTAGAATATCAAGGTTCACTGTAGTCTGGCTCCAGGTGAGATAAAACTATATCGTACATATATAGCAAAACATTTCTTCTTTATCAGTTATATACTCAAGTTTTCTTCATCATATTCTCCATGTAGAGGTGATATACTGAAATCCTAGAATACGTCTTTGTATTTAACTGTTATGAAGATCAATACTTTAACTTACCCGGAGTGCCTTCTGTTTTAACTTATACCAGGAGTGCCTTCTGTTTTAACTTACCAGGAGTGCCTTCTGTTTTAAGTTACCCAGAGTGCCTTCTGTTTTAACTTACCCGGAGTGCCTTCTGTTTTAACTTACCCGGAGTGCCTTCTGTTTTAACTTACCCGGAGTGCCTTCTGGTTTTACTTACCAGGAGTGCCTTCTGTTATAACTTACCAGGAGTGCCTTCTGTTTTAACTTACCCGGAGTGCCTTCTGTTTTAACTTACCCGGAGTGCCTTCTGTTTTAACTTACCAGGAGTGCCTTCTGTTATAACTTACTAGGAGTGCCTTCTGTTTTAACTTACCAGGACAGCCTTCTGTTATAACTTACTAGGAGTGCCTTTTGTTATAACTTACTAGGAGTGCCTTCTTTTATAACTTACCAGGAGTGCCTTCTGCTTTATCTTACCAGGAGTGCCTTCTGTTTTAACTTACCAGGACAGCCTTCTGTTATAACTTACTAGGAGTGCCTTTTGTTTTAACTTACCAGGAGTGCCTTCTGTTTTAACTTACCCGGAGTGCCTTCTGTTTTAACTTACCAGGAGTGCCTTCTGTTTTAAGTTACCCAGAGTGCCTTCTGTTTTAACTTACCCGGAGTGCCTTCTGTTTTAACTTACCAGGAGTGCCTTCTGTGTTAACTTACCAGGAGTGCCTTCTGTTTGGCATTGTTCATGTCCCAAAGCCTGATTGTATGGTCCCATGAAACAGTACAGATAGTGGAATCGTCCAGCCACTCTATCCCAGATATCCCTTCTGAATGGCCTTCCAATGTCAGCATAGGGACCTGTGAATCAAAACAAACAGACATTTCCTGTCACAGATATATCCAAACACAGGTACTTGTTATACCACCAACAAAAAGACTATGTGTCTACAACTGAACTAAGTAATTGTTTGTTGCTACCTAGAGTGTCACATGACGATGAGTTATCTCCTCGTCAATCTTAACAATACATTTGTTATTTATGTAATTAAATAGAAATAAATCCAAAAACTTCTACTGTATTATTAGACTATGGTTTAATATTGTTTATTGAACTCATTTTCATTGGTTTGTGGTGACAGTCTACCAAGTGACAGACAGAAAATATGAGAACATATTGATGAAGTCATACCCAAAGAACTACATTCATATACGACCACTTCTTTTGATATTGGAAATTCAAGCACTGTACTAGATTTTAAACCAGATGACTTCGAAATATTCCTGATGACTAGCGATGATCTACACATGGCTTTATACGTGTCATTTTTTGAGAGAGTACACGTAAATGAGCATGTTAAGCAGGCTCAACTAGATTGGAGCGTCATAGCACATGTGCAGGGGATTTAAAACATTTGATTGATAAACATAAAATTCATTGTGCAGAGAAATTTGCAGACTTTGTTTTGCTAAGATCTAAATCATGACTTCACATACCCTTGTCTGACGAGACTTGCCGCCAGTTTTCTTTTTCTTTTTTGGTCGTTCTGCATTCTCATCTTCGTCATCATCCACATCTCCAGCACTGGTTAGCTCTGGAAACAAAACAATCGGTTTAAAACACAAAGATAAAAGTCTGAAGCACAGAGAAAATGTTCATCTTTGAACATATACATTTATACAGGACTTATCACATCAGGAATGAGTTAGATAGGTAATTGTTGACATATTTCACATTGAATGAAATCTTCAGATATTGAACTTTAGAAAATTGTATAGTTTTAGTAGATTTAAAATGTGATGGCGGATTGATATGGGGTCAAATGTCAGGGGCTGTGCCCGTCCCATTTCACCGGTTTGGCTTGTAACCTTCCGGTTGTCAAAAGCAGACGCCTGTAGCGCTCTTATATGCCACCAAATTCACCAAAAAATGCCTTTTTAATCCTTTGTCAAGTATGTATCTGTGAATCGAGACAGTTTTCACTATTCTTGAACTTCAAATATTAGTTAATTCAGTAATAACATATAGTAAATGATTTAGTTGTGTGAGCTCTTTTAAAGTAATGTCTTATACTTTTTATACACGGACACATCAAACATCATGCAGCAGGTGAAGTAGAACAATGAGCTGGTGACACAAGGAATAAACATACACTCAGGTAAACATTATTAATATAAACCTTTATGCTGTATAGGGCTTCAAATTTGCAGGGTCAATATTTGGCGGTTTCGTATTCAGTACATATTTCGCAGGGGTTAAATTTCGCTGTGCACCCGCATCCAATGGGGCGTAGAAAGTATTTTGAGTGTCATCATGTAAGGGATAAACCATGAAATACAGGTAAACCGTTTGAAAACAATGATCCAGAGTGTCGACATCCGCCAGTGACTTCACTCAAAAAGGAGAAAACTGTAATCACTTATTGTGTACACATAAATATGTTGTGGCCACTTCTATTTTACATGGACTGCCCAGTTTTCCGGTGATTATCTGATTCAAGTTCATTTAAGCTTGCATAACAGTGTTGGGTTATAAGTTTTTTCAACATGTTGTGATAAGGTCCGTAAAAGTGGTTAACATTTTTGATAATTTCGCTGGTGTTTAGAATTCGCGTATATTAGTCAAAGTGTGAATATAGCGAAATTGAAACCCCGTGAAATATAACCCCTATACAGTACCTTGCTCATCTCACAAATCATGTCTGGCCATATTGCATTTCCATTGCTATGACGAGTTTTATCGTGTATCTGAAATACCCAGTGTTTTAAGGGTTTAAAGACTTTGACAAAAAAAAAAGTTCAAGTGGGTTATGTTTTACCAACCTGCAGACCACAACTTCAACATCCGGTCCCATGATCCACTGCAAAACTAAACATATATGTCAATGTCACAACTGAGTAGCCACCAAACAAGGCAAGTGTGTTAATTATCATAACAGGATAGCTTACAAATGGTCATTTAGCCACCAAACAAGGCAAGCATGTGAATTATCATAACAGGATAGCTTACAAATGGTCATTTAGTGACCAAACAAGGTAAGCGTGTCAATTATCATAACAGGATAGCTTACAAATGGCCATTTAGCCACAAAACAAGGCAAGCATGTCAATTATCATAACAGGAAAGCTTACAAATGGTCATTTAGCCACCAAACAAGGCAAGCGTGTCAACTATCATAACAGGACAGCTTACAAATGGTCATCTAGCCACCAAACAAGGCAAGCGTGTCAATTACCATAACAGGATAGCTTACAAATGGTCATTTAGCCATCAAACAAGGCAAGCATGTAAATTATCATAACAGGACAGCTTACAAATGGTCATCTAGCCACCAAACAAGGCAAGCGTGTCAATTACCATAACAGGATAGCTTACAAATGGTCATTTAGCCCCCAAACAAGGCAAGCGTGTCAATTATCATAACAGGATAGCCTACAAATGGTCATTTAGCCACCAAACAAGGCAAGCGTGTCAACTATCATAACAGGACAGCTTACAAATGGTCATCTAGCCACCAAACAAGGCAAGCGTGTCAATTACCATAACAGGATAGCTTACAAATGGTCATTTAGCGACCAAACAAGGCAAGCGTGTCAATTATCATAACAGGATAGCTTACAAATGGTAATTTAGCCACCAAACAAGGCAAGTGTGTCCATTATCATAACAGGATAGCTTACAAATGGTCATTTAGTCCCCAAACAAGGCAAGCGTGTCAATTATCATAACAGGATAGCCTACAAATGGTCATTTAGCCACCAAACAAGGCAAGCATGTCAATTAACATAACAGGATAGCTTACAAATGGTCATTTAGTCACCAAACAAGGTAAGCGTGTCAATTATCATAACAGGATAGCGTACAAATGGTCATTTAGCCACCAAACAAGGCAAGCATGTCAATTAACATAACAGGATAGCTTACAAATGGTCATTTAGTCACCAAACAAGGCAAGTCTGTCAATTATCATAACAGGATAGCTTACAAATGGTCATTTAGCCATCAAACAAGGCAAGCATGTCAATTATCATAACAGGACAGCTTACAAATGGTCATTTAAAATTCAACATCTTAGGTTACTGGAATATGTAATTGCACGCCAGTACATGTACTTATAAACACATTAGATGAGAATGCTGTAATCTAGTAGTCTGAGATAGGGGTTCAATTAAACGAATTTCAGAATTATGGATATTGTATTATCCAGACTTTCTCAGATTTTAGTATTACCTTTAACAGGTGTAAACATGAAGACAGCAAATAAAGAACAAGTCATATGTATAAAAGCTAGAAAAGGTCTTGTTTATATAGTAGATTAACAGTACTGTTCTCTCCCGACTGACAGAACATGTTGTCAAGATATTCTGATATAGATCATGTCTAGTAGGTAACTATTTACCAATGTTTTAGGGAAGTTGACGGCCAGACAGTCCACACTGCCAGCGTGTCCTCGACAGGAATTGATGCAATCCACTTCATTCTTTTCTCTGTTCCAGGACCACAACAATATTGTCTGGTCATGTGATCCTGTTAGAAAGCTGCTGATTGGTCCATTGTCTTAAGGTAAACCAAGAGTAAAATTGTGTTAATTGCAACAAGGATTACAAGTAATATAATTACATACCTGGTACATGTTAATATTATCTTCAAGAATGATGTCGATAAGGATTTTTTAAAGAATAGCATGAAAATTATTTTTTCTGATAAACACTATAAAGAGTAAAAATTGTGTAACAAAATTATAATGAAAATGAAATTTTGATAAAAAAAACCAATTAGAAGAAAACACATGTACAGCAATCATAGGAGTAGTTTCACACACCAAAAAGTTTGTACTCCATGAAACTTTCATGTACACTGATGCTTAAAATGAACACACTGACCAGAGTATTTGTACTATTTCTTTGTTTAACCCTTTCACCACTGTACTTCAATGGACTCATCTGTATCAATGAATGCACGGTAGAGTCTACGAAGGTTATATAAGGGTGAAAGGATTAATAAATTCTCACCTTTATTTGTACCAGCGTATTATATAACATTTTATGAAATATTTTATCAAGTATGATAAAATGAGCATGACTGTGTTTATTTTAGAGTAAATTAAAGGTGACTTTCAAGTCATCAACAATCAATAAGATCATTAAATAAACAGATATTTTTGGAATTTACCAATGTTGATCCACTCAACAGCCTTCACTGGGGCAGTGTGACCAGGGATGGTCATCATTTCTTTCCCTGCCATGGTCCAAATATGGATGGTGTTGTCATAACAACCTGATAATATCCTTTAAACAGAACAAAAAAGTACATTTTAAATACTATTCTGTATTTACTAATGAGTGATTGTGTCCTTTGTCAAGTTGAGTCTCAATACAATTAAGTTGTACACTGGATATTGCTACCAGGCAGGCAGTGATTACATGAAGTGGGCTTCTGTTGCAGGGAGTTTTTTTTATGATTTCCTTACTTCAGAGGCTGTCATGTAATTATGGTAATGCTACTGTCAAACTGGGAAAACTATGTGCTATTTATGATTTCAGCGCAAAAATGATTAACGCCTCTCATCCATGTTTCAAACGCCATTGCATCACAGATTACGTAAAATTAATCAGGTTATCAAAACAACATGGCCGCCACATTTAGTCTGCTCACTTCTACAATCTATCTTGATGAATCAAAAATATTTCATATTCTCTTAAAGTTGTATCGACAGTCATTTGTTGATAAAGGCTTCTCACGTGGTCTTTTGTTCACCTTTAACACCTACAGGTAGGCTAGTTCAAATCCCCACAGGTAAATCTTCCCGCAGGGCAGAGTTCGATAATCAGGTGTCGATCGTAGGGAACAATAAAAAGCTAGTCTAATGAGGGTGAGTCTAATTGGCAAGGGGAGAAGAGGTTATCAATTTGTGAGAACTTCATATTCCAGTCGTAAATACCTCTCAATGAGTAACAGTAAAATGGTGATGCGTAACAGCTCAAAATTCATGCGTAACGGTACCGTCACGCTAAAACGGCCTAGGGAGAACACTGATATGTGTATACAAAATAACTACCGTTTCCGAGATATTTAGCCATTTCAATAACACAATTCATTTATGACCTTTGATCTCATGACCTCAGAAGTTTATCAGCAGAGTAGTTTTCATTAATACCACAACATTCCAAGGTATATGTGTATACAAAATACCTACTGTTTCCGAGATAATTAGCTATTTCAGTAACGTAATGTACCGTCTACAGAAGTCAAGGGCCATAACTCTGGTAAATATTAAAGGAACCTAATGGCATTTGAGGAGACACAAGTTCATTTGAGGAATAACATGTGTGCCAAGTTTCATCAAAACCCAAACATAAACCTAGGAGGAATAGGAGGTACAATATTTTGCCTAAAGACAGACAGACGGCCAGACAGATGGACAAACTGATTATTATTGGGCACCCACATCTCTGATTTAGATGCAGGGGACTAATAAATCTCCTCCCTGCCTGTTCTCTTCTGGAAGACACTTACCATTCTTTACCGCCCTGGATACAGCTGACCCAATCGTTGTGTAATAGGGTATCCTCAGGCTTTGGTGCTGGATGACGTTCAACATATTCAGTCTCTATAATCTCTTCCTGTAACACATACACCATTTGTTTTTATAGTACTCCATATACCTAATACATACAACACAGTCAAATTTGTGTAAGTTTCTACAGCACAGTATCTCTCAAACATTTACGAAGCACTTTGTACAATGTCTTCCAAAGTCTTTACATATTGAACAACTTTCCCTTTGTTGAGGCCCCACCCTAGCCCATGGGATTAGGACAGGTGACATAAAATATGACTTTTACAACTAACTAACAATGACCCCCCACCCCCACACACACACACTGACCTACTTGGAGGCAGAACTACTTGTGTTCCAGTCAGTGATGTATTTTTGCAGACAAATTGATACTAGTGTTAGCATATCCGGTTACATTTTAATTGTTTTACCTGTGGCATACTGAACATAACACATGTGCTCAGACAGCAGAACACTGCTTCATGTAAAGCCAGTCGTAATTGTGTAGACACAGATTCAAGATTTGAGATGACGTAAGTTTGTCATCTCTTACCAAATGCAGTATTTAAAAAAATGGTAAAAAAACAGTTTAACTTCATCATGAATATACCAATATTGGTGAAAGTGCAATTTTTTTTATTTACCCTTTTACTATTTTACTAAATAGGAAAGAGAGTCGTCTGCTTGCAGCAGGAAGTAAACTAGCATGCCCCTGCTAACCATATAAAGCTAAAGGGAAATAAATCAAATTTCCTCTAGCACAAAGATGTAAGGTTGCCATGATCATATGTACTTTTTAAATCTGCCACATACTGAACAAAAACAATATCACACATCATGGCCACAATACACTTCTGGACACTGCCAGCCCACTCTGTTTAACATGGTCTCTAACTGTAAACACCCCATACAAATATTGATCCTTATCAACCATATATAAACAGAGTTAAGGCAGTTTCCCCTTGGTGTTTTGGCACCATGCCAATTTGTTTTCAACACATCTACACTACACAATGTTCATTCCATGTTTCTAACATGTAATTGTAAAAGTTTCTCCACCTGATTATCCCACATACAAAATGTGAGGATCATGTTACTTAAGTGTTGTGTTGTGATCATAAGCATGTCAAACTTGTACATCTCTGTAAATTTGATACAAGTTTTCGAAAATATCTCAAAAAAAATTAACCAATTGTTTTTTCTTTTACCATATTACCAGAATATGATTTTTTCCTAAAAAAGATAGAAAATTATTGTGTTTGAATATATTATGCGGATTATAATTTTCTGGTAATCAATAAAGGAAAATTCAGAAATTAAGAAAGTAAGTTTTGCTAGAAGCTAAATCTACAAAAGATTTCAAATTGTGAAAAACAATGTGTTAATCTCATTTCGACACAACTGCACAAGGAAAACCCTGCAGCATGCCTGGTAAATACCTACCGTAGACTGGCCTTTTGCATCAAGATGTTTGCTAAGTGTAATTCGTAGAAATTCTCCATCAATCAGAAAATCAAAATCCACATTAGTCGTTTCTCCACTTCCAGCTACAATATGAAACATAATGCTAAATTATTCTTTTTCCACTAAATAGAACTTTCACATATAAATGTAACACCTACTTAATTCTCTATTTTTGTATATTTAAGTAAAATTAAAGATACCACTTGAGATTGGAAATTTTGGTTTTCATTTAATCATGACAGTTGAATTGGGAATAAGTAACCACGTTCTTGTTACATATTTGAACTAGGAATGAGGTTACAGAAAAAGGTAACCCATCTGTCAGCCTTAATATAGGAATGTCAAGTTGTCTACTTATTCCTCATTCTCTTTTTCTATATAATACAAGGAATAAGTTGATTCTTCCTCATTTCCAATTCGAGGTTCATTCAATTAAGCATTAGAAATTTAATCATTCAAAACCTCCATTCCTCTGATACACTTTAATGTACATATAAGTTAATCTGACAACACCTGGATCATGGGTAATGTTCTGGTGATATTTCATCTCAGTCAATCAGATCAGTGGTGCCCTAAAAATTCTTCATATAATAAGAAAACACCAAGTACTTTAAGATATTGAATGAAAGATCACCAAAAGCAACCTCTGCTAAAATTAATGTTCCCTTTATATCCTTTATCAAGTTGGTTTTAATTTGTGTAGTATTTTTCACTATGTAATTGAACATGTAGTTGTACCAATTATTACCATGAAGGACACTGTTAATGAGGGAACTTAGTTCCTTTGTTCCAACATCTGCAGGTACTGAGAAGGGAGTGGATGGGACACTATACCTGTGAACATAGAAACATCAATTATTGTTTAAATGAATGAAAGAAAAAATCAAACAACTTTAACAAGACAGAAATCGATACTGGTAGGCCAAAAAAACAAAGTGTTGATGGAATAAAGAAAGCTGGAATGTAGAACATTATCCTTGAATGTGATATGCAATATAAAATAAGGCGGTAACATACACTTACTGAATAGTGAATATACTAACGAAGACATCGTCATTGACTAAAATATTGTATTTTGTCAAATTTACTGAAATGAAAATCCTGCGTTGAGGCTGCGATCAGCTGTAGTTGATCGATCTGCCAAGGCAAAACAAGTGCCACAACTGATTAATGACATGATTTGAGTCATCGTATATGGTCATCATCTTTCCATTGGTGATATAGTGCAAAACTTTTGCACTTTATCACCAATGGAAAGATGTTGACCCCAAGCAGACCCCGTTTATTCCAGCACAATTTATTATATAAATGCACATTTTCCATTCATTGTTATTAATTTTTTTTGCAATCGAACCCCCGTGTCAACAATTCATGATATTGAATACAGAAGCAAATGGAAATCAGATCAAGAACCCCTAGCATATGCGTTTGTCATGTAATCTTTTTTGATAATATACATACGATGATTTGGTGAAGAACCGAACTTGCACGTGTGGTGTGTTAGCCGCCATATTGTGAAAATATTCGGACTTTCTCGGACTTTTTCATCTGGTAAGAAAAAAATATATGTTCGTAAGCACTCGGTACCGAGTCCGGCAAACGGCAGCTGTGAATGGTATAGCACCTAATCGAAAGCCGCAGAGTTGCGTATTTTTTTAACCGGAAATGAAGTATGTGAAAGAGAAAGTAGAAGTTCAGTGTCAACAAATATACGACTAGTTGTAGCGGGATTTACATTATTTTAAAAAGAAATAGGAGGTATATAGGGGTAAGTGGTGGAGAAAGGGTTATTAATATGTATTTCACAACGAAACGAAATTTTTCCTGAATGTATAACTTACTGTTTAGTCATTAAAATGTTTAGATCTGTATTGTCTTCCCTGATTTTCTTTTATTTTCAGTAATTTTATTAAATTGAATTACTACACCTACAAAAACGATCAGATGCCTTTGATAGCGGGTTCCTGAATTCAAACACTTAAAACAATGCTTGTAAAATTACTTATGGAAACTCTTTTTAACAATAAATGTATGTGGATTAAATGTTTATATTATCGCAGACATATTACATCAATTTTCACAATTATTACACATGCAATTCACAAGAATTTGAAATAACAAATTTACTTTAGGTTATGGACATTTATTTATTGTTTCAGATTGGTAATACACAAGTACTAACTTTCACAGATCATGAACATTGCATGTACATATGTTACTAAGGTTGTTTTCAGACCCATCTTCAGTGTCAATAACTACACCTGTATTTACTATTACAGACAGGTTATGAATTTTTAATCATTGCTTCAGACTGGTTATAAATTTGTGTTAACTTTCACAGACATGTAACAGAAAAATAACATTGCTTAAAACTGCATGATTATATATATAACAATTATATTTATTATCACAGACATGTTAGGAAAACTTATCACTTGTTTCAGACTGGCTATAAAACTTTTATTATACTATCCCAAGTAGGGTTATCTATTTTTAATTATTGTTTCAGGCTGGTCATAAACTTGTGTTAATTATCACAGACATGTACGAAATAAATATTGATTGCTTCAGACTGGTTATAAACTTATCTTACCTTTCACATACATTATGAGGAACTCTTTTAATTGTTTCAGACTGTTTATACATACATATTTATTTACTTTCACAGAAAAAAGTTATATCCCATGTATTATAGAAAAGTGACACACATTTCATCATCATATTGGTTCTAGTTGTGTAGATTCATCTTTGTGTGACCAAAAAGGCACAAGCCAGATACATGCATGGTAACATCATGCACTTTATAAGTATTTAAATATATGAATTCATGGTAAAACATATT